TCTGAATATGAACATCTTTTTATGTAATCAAATTAAGAAAAAGCACTCCTTACATGCATGTGATATAAGTTTAAACCATTTTAAAGAAAACAAAGAAATAATAATCTAATAGCTTCAAATCTTGTTGTAAGGATATAAAATTCTTCAAAATCTATTCCTTTTACTAAGTGATACCCTTGTTCTGCCAACCTAACATTAATTCCTTACAACATACCTAGGTTCATAAAATTTGTTCTTTTAAACCGACTTAGTTTTTTTTCTTAATTTGTTAATAACATTGCAAAAACTAACCCTAAATATCATTACTAAAAACGTTTCTCTTTGATTCTTACACTATTTTTAATAAAGACACATCATCTAATGCTTCATCAAAAAATACTAGTTTAATGTGACATGATAATGATGAATGATTTATCTTTTCTCTAATCATACTTTACATACTAATATGATATGTTCCTTGTATTTCTTAGAAGCATACTTCTACTCCCAAAGTAATCCAAGTGTTGTGAATCCTTTTTTTATACATTTGGCTTATCTAAAATATGATTTTTTCTAAGAATATTTTATCTGCTCATGACCTAACACTTTCACTTTTAGAAAAAAAAAAAAAAAAACTGATAATCATAACAATTTATAGGCACTAATCTTTCAAAATCAAACATTTAATTTATAATTATAAACCTTACAATGATCAATATATGCCAGTTATGCTAGTCATTTACAATTTAGTTTTTTTTTTTCATTTTCTTATTACACTGTTCTATTGTGGTACAGCAACAATAACAAAACCTTTATCCCACTAAGTGGGGTTGGCTACATGAATCAAAAAGATTCATTTCATAATTTTTAAAACAAGTTTTACGCTGACTGTCGTCTACCTAACACAATCCTCTACTTTTCGCATCCGGGCTTGGGTCCGGCAATGACAACGTTCAAATTTTTAAAATCAATTGTGATGTCCTAGGAAAAAAATCTAATCTCACCCTCTTCATAAATGATCATGATTTTCTAATTTTTAAATTATCCCCCATTATCAATCCAAATATTCATAATTAAAAAAGCTTTATCTTTCGTAATCCACATTAAAAAGACCATATATTTAATAGTTGCGTTATTTTATAGAATGCCGCCAGCACAAACATTTAGTAATCATCAATTATAACATACTTATACATTCTCCTTCATATGCTAGTGGGAACTCTAAATAAATCTATTGTACTTTTACGTGTCTTTAAATGTTCACAACTTTTATGAAGGTAAGAGATGTATGGGTCTATGTACCTGACTAACAATTTAAACGTAGGCGGTCCTTAAGGTTATGTAATCCAAATTCTAATTCATGTATATATAGTTTTAATAAAGTGTACAAGAATATGACCTAAAAATACTCAATTTGAATTCATATATCATCATAGTATGCTTTTAAACATTTCAAATTACTAAAGATTAATCTAATAAGTTTAACTAATTATCTATGAAAAATAAATTACGCTGCATTATTCGAATTAATTAAATATTAATCAAAAGAAATTCGATCGCATACATGTTATTACATAGTTAGATGATACTTATTTGATTATCCTTTTAATAATCAACGAATATAACCTTCTTGAGTGTAAAATCCATAGCAAAAAGAGCCAACTCTTAATATTTTTTCTTTTAATTTTTTCTTAGTTACATGGATCTATCTTTATTCATTCTAATCAAATAATTTTTTATCTTTAATCCTTTATCATAAATGTTTATTATGTAGCTATCATATTCCCTTAATAATCCTACTGTTAAAGCTTACCTGCTTAAGTATTTAATGAATCAATTGTTGAACCCTTACTTCTTGAGGTCTATCAAAGAAATGAGTATGATGAGTAAATGTGCAGATTGGGTTCCAACTATTTATTTTGTAAACCTAGAAATATGGACTTAAAAAGGTTTTTTAATTGTATCTTTAACTTTATATTATTTATATATGTGTCTCAAACTAATATATTATGCACATAGCATATGCCTATAGAGGTTCAAAATATTATATTTTTGTAGTGTTAGATAGACTGTAAAAATACTCTATTTTGCTCTTAATAAGTAATTTCCTTTAAGCAATGTAATAAACCAAGGATGCTAATTTAATGTCCATAAATTTCTTGTTTAGCATGTTGCAACTTATTTTCAAGCTAGATATGATGCAAATTTAAATTGACATGATCTATCTTCAATGTTTGATTATTTTTCAAACTAATTAGAGCTTTATTAATTTCAAAAAAATTACCATGAAAATTTTCGCTTGTTTCTTTCTAAATAGATCAATATTCATTATTAAATAATTTTGTTCTTTCTCACTACTTGAATCGGCCCTCACCCTTAATGCCTTCTTACCTTTCTTAAATGTATCTTTTTTTTTTTCATCCATGATTGCCCAAAAGATAGTTTGACTTGAAGCAGTTAGGATTGTAGCATACAAAGCATATTTAAATTCTTTTTGCCACCTATAAGATTGATTGTTTAATCATTTTGAACTTATATTAAACTTTGTTTCCATATATTTTATAAATGTTTCTCTTGAAAATTATTTATAGTTTGTATCTTCATAATGCATTCTTAGTTCCATAACTCTCTAAGAGTAAGGATTTTCTGTTTTTGAAGTCATAACTCTTAAACATAACATTTTTGTCTCTATATTCAAGTTTTTTTTCTCTACTTCTTAGTTCCATAACTCTCTAAGAGTAAGGATTTTTGGTTTTTGAAGTCATAACTCTTCAACATAACATTTTTGTCTCTATATTCAAGTTTTTCTCTCTATAATCTATTGAACTAATTTTTTATTAATGAATTTAGAACCCTTTATTTAGATATAGCTATTATTGTAAGAACCCACACTCTTAGCATTTGATTTACCTTTTCTTGGATCAAATGTTCCTTACCAAATACAATAAGTATGTTGTTTATTTTTGTGATGAATTTGAATATTTTATGTTTTGTACATATTTTTTTATTAATTTATATTTTTTTGCATGGAATTTTATTTATTTATTTTCATTCCCTCATTCATTTTTTTATCAGCTATGATTACTTTGGCATAATCTCTTTCATTATTCTTATGTTACAAATTTTTATATAATCAACATTTTTCAAAATCAAACATGACACATTTACTCCCATAGTTTTGAGTAGACACATGCTTTATTTCATTGAAGAGCATTATTCCCTGGGTTTTGGAATTTCATTATCTTTAGTAATTGATAATAGTAATGCCTTACAAACCACCCTTAGAATAAAATCACCATTTGTCAAGTTGCATGGTTGCAAGTATACATTCATTTTGCTCCTTGCGAAATAAAGACATTCACCATAAATAAGGATGGTTGTACTTTTTAGTGCCATTCATTTATTTATGAAGTATTATGATCAATATATATATTGAAAAAAAGCATTCGATGTTAAGCTTTGGCATTGATATCAATTATTTGTATCCATGTACTCATAAGGGAGGTGAATTTAGCTTTTTAAAATTTTTAAGATTTTAATAGTTCACAATATTTTATTCTGAAAAATAAATAAAAATTAAAAATGCAATACTAAATAGATATGTAAAAATAATAAAAATGGAAATAAGTAACAATTTAATGGACTATTATTGTAGCTTACATCCATGCTTAGGTGTCCAACCATACTTGTTATCTAATTCGCACCACATGTACTAAATAAAATAATCACTCTTATAATAGGAAAAGAAGCTCTTACACAGTCATTTACTTTACGACATCCTCTTTTCATTTGAGAAAACAATCCAAATATTGTCGCAAGTGAAGAATAATTTTTTGATACGTTATTTACTAGAATAAATTGACAAAATACAAGATACAATGAGAGAAAAAAAAAATAAAGGGTTTTTATATGTTTTAGTTGAAGAAAACAAATCACAACACCAAAAAATCAAAGGATCTCTACATGATCAAGTAAGAAACCTCTTATATCCCTTTTGATTTATGTTTTACCTAAGATTTTTATAGATAAAAATTAATTTTGATGCTAGATTATAGAAAAAAAATAAAATTTATAACTAATTATTAATTTCAAGGCCTAATGAATAACTAATTGCATACCTCGTATTGACTTAATATTTTGTAGGGAAAATTACATACGCAGCACACAATTTGTATGGATTTCGCTATGTAGCATACACATATAAAAGTCATAATGCATTTTTTATTCCAATGCGTAACCCTCATGTGTGAAGTTTGATATCATTGTGTTAATTATTTCCTACAAGTAATTAATTTGAAAAATAAAAAATCTAAAGTTCTAAAAATTCGCATGGGATGTAATTTGCATAAACTTACCATTTTAACGAATTAATTGGGATGTAATTAATGATGTTCTAAATTTCAGATTTAAGTTTACGTGTTTATCATAGAGAAATAGAGAAATGAATCAAACAAAATTATCTGATAAGAAAATATTAAGGAAATTTGATGGTAACATCTATAGAACTCTCTTTAGACTAGTTATGATGTGCATATCCAAGGTTTGTATAGTGAAAATTGGTAAGATAATTTGAGTATGATGAAAATGATAATATTAAAATAAATATATTATATAACATGGAATGATTAATTCATACAATTCTGTTAGAGGAAATGTGGAAGTACCATCTAATACAGAAGAAGCAATTGGAATAAACTAGGATGGGTTGAATATGCATGATGATTGATAGTGATTGCATCCATTTGACAGATAAATATAATTTAGGTCAAATCATCAAAAAGAGAAATGATTTAACCTAAGGAATATGGTTACAAGTTATAACTAAAAAAAAAGAAATATATGTAGATGTTTCTTGCAAAATTCATCAAGAATGAATGAAAAAATAAATCATAAAGCTTGCCCCATTACACTGGTTATGGCAACTATGAAGAAGAGGATACATAATTGCTTTCATTTTTCCAAAGGGCTGATTAGAGCTCCTACACCATCGTTATTAAACCTTTCTCTCCATGTCTTTCTAGTGCACATGACAGACAATCACTTTGCACATGAAGTGGCAATAGAAGAAGACGAAATGGAAACTCGGGAGAGGATTCACTCAAGGACAGAAGAGAAGAAAAGTATCATTATCAAGTTTAGGAACAAATCTTGGCTAATACTTTCAATGGTTGGAAGGAAGCTGATATCAAATCCCAACACATATGCATGCTTAGTTGGCCTATTATGGTCACTCATCAGCAATAGGTATGAGGATTCTAATCTTAACAATACGAACTTCGTATTAGTAAGAAATGCATGTTGTGCAAATATTCATAGCATTGAATTGCAAAGTTGAATACCATACAGGTGGGCTATTGTGCTTCCAACGATAATAAAAAACTCCATATCAATTTTAGCAAATGGTGGTCTTGGAATGGCCATGTTCAGCTTAGGTAGGTAATCTCTTAGCTAATATGGAACAAAACAAGCATGAAACGAGAACTTAATTTTCCCAAATTATAGGACTCTTCATGGCATCACAGTCAAGGATCATAGCATGTGGCCTTCGGATGTTGATTTTTTCCATGGTCTTGAGATTCATTGTTGGGCCAATACTCATGGCGATCCCATCATACACCTTACAGATGAAAGGGACTCTTCTTAATGTTGCAATTATTCAAGTAATGATAAATTATTCTTCTTATTTTTACCAAAAAGAGGCTTATGAATTACTTGATATGAAATTTTCTTTTTGAAATATATGTTATTTTTAGAGAAGTAAATTATAACAGATGCATATATGCAGGCTTCTCTACCTCAAGGAATTGTTCCATTTGTTTTTGCTAAGGATTATGATGTTTGCCCTGACATTTTAAGTGCTGGGTAATAACTTCTTTTTCTCTAGTTAATATATTTTCTTACGATGCTTTGTATGGACTAAAATAGTACTTTTTTTTCCTGTAGGGTGATTGTTGGTATGTTTTTAGCCATACCGGTAACTCTGGTATACTCTTTGATTATAGACCGTGATTGAAATCTCAAACTCAACCAATTGGATAGAAATTCTTAAAGGGGGTTGATCTACAAAAAGGGAACATAAATGCATCATTTTTATTACCAAAGTTTTTATTAGAAGTATAAAGATACATATATTTTCCTACAATACAATTCATCTTTTCTCATTGAATTTCCTATATTTAAATAGGACTTTGTAATGGTTAATTTTTAGTTTTAACACGAGTTATGGAAATGAGTAGAAAATTGCATATTGACAAAGAATATTGCAACAAAAAGAATAAAATGTTTTTTGCATTCATTTGAATAAAGAACTGGATTCATAAATGAGACTATCGAGCTTCCCAATCATAAGGGATGAAGATACCGGAAAGTAATCTAAGCAATGTAATTTAATGTTGAACATTGAATTTATTTAACAAACAACATTTACTATGAGAGCAAGGCAACAAGTTAAAATGTGGAAGGTTGAACGTTATGCGTACGTGCATGAAAATGAAAAACAATTATGAAAAGAGAGAGAGGGAGGGGGAAAGAAAGAGGGAGGGAGGTGTTAATATAAAAAGGGGGAAAACCACATACTAAAAAAGCATAAGCAATTGGGTAAATAATTTGTGGCATGAACTTATTGAGGTGCCCCATGATAAATTTTTATAAGAGTTATTTCTCTTCTTTCTAATTTCATTGTAAATGTACAGGAACCTTTAGGGACACTAATTAAAGGTAATAGCAAACCCAGATGTTCAAGATCATTAGGGACACATTTTTAGTGATTTGGTAAAACAAAAACTTGGTTGTAGTTAGCACAACAATTTCTATCTAAAAGGCATGCCAGGAAAACTATAGAACGTCTGCTTTTGCAATACTTGGGCCTCACAAAACTTTCCTAACTTTTACTGGAGATTTTACAAACTAAAGTTATGGAGTTGAAAATTTCATTAACAACCACAATAGAGCACATGCTTTGCCATTGAGAGATGAATAATTAATGTTGGAGCAAGCAATGAGAAAGAGAGAAAAATCTTATAGTAAAAAAAAAGGTTGGTCTACTCCATCTCTTGTTGACCCTCAAATATATTCCAAAGACAAATCGATCACACATAAAGCGAGCACGGTAAAAGAAATAAGTTGATGGCACAACATCGGTAATTTGAGTTTGAATCATCTTGATCGTTAATGAAGTAACTAAAATAGCATTTGATCACAAAATAAACTATGTGAGCTGGTCCGAAATATCAAAATTGCCTAAAGAAGAATGTCCTATGATAAAAAAGAATAAGTACGGTGAAATCAGCAGAATACGGGTGCGACACACTTAATTCAGGCCCATATCAGCCCAATTAGAGAGGAGGTTATTGAAACAAACTCCCATGAGAAAATGGACTCCACATTCAAAACATCGATTTAACCCAAAAAATAAAAAAACACACACACATCTCGTCGGATTTTATGCACAAGTTAGCGGCACACAAATAAATACATTTAAAATCATAAAAAATATAAAATAAAATAATAAGAATATGAAAATCCTTCGCCCTGCCTCTGCCACCCACGTTAGCCACTCAGAATTATGGCATGTGTAAATGACAATAGTAAAATATATCCCAGTAAAAACCTAATAGGCTAACGCACACCCCGCTCCCGCTCACCCGATCTTGACACTTTCCCCTCTTCTCCCGATTTTTCCCCGACTCCTCCCTACGAGCTTAAATTTTTCGTCACTCCTCCCACCGAAACTCCATCTGCCTGCTGCTCCTCCCTCCGGCGGCCAACTCCACTGAAACCCATTCCCTCAGCCTGCATCTCCTCCCTTCGGAAACCACTTCTCCTGCGGCCAACTTCCAGCTGCAAACTCCAACACCTTCAGCTTTAAGGTATTAAAAAAAAATTCAAATCCTGAAGCTTTAATTATTTTTCTTTGCTGTTTGTTTGAAAATGAAATTTAAGTCTGCTTGGATCTTAGCTTCTGGTGGAATTAGAATGGCAGTGATGGCTATTTGGAGTGTAGGTTAAATGCTATTCAATGTTCATGTATGCATGCAGGTTCGCTCATCTTCACCACCGCGTGAAAGATATAATACTCGTAGCTCTTGAAATATCTATCGCGATGCATTGAGGCATCTAGTAAAATTCTATACACGTTTTATTAGCATGGTGGAGCAAAACTCATGCGTGACGCTTGCGACGCGGCAGACAATTCAAAACACTCATGAAATGCCTATTAAGAGTCATCTGACACGTTTAGGGGAAGCCTACAAATGTTTTTTATAGCGTGGTGGGGTGAAGCTCGCATGCCACTCTCGAGGCGCAATAGATAATTTAAAATTAAGTACTCGTTCGTATCTTTCTTGACGCGTGGTCGTGGCGCAAGACACCCATACACATCCTTCTTAGCATGGTCGGCAGACCCATACTCACGATGCAGCCCCCCATCAAGAGATGACTCTAGGAGGCTGCCGTAATTTGGTCAAAGTGCCGGTCATAAATGAGCAAAAAAAATTGATTTAAATGCAATCAAAATGAAAGCCCCTAAGCTACATATTAAATGCTAATATGATTGCATAAATTTTTTTAAATGATGAAATTAAATATAAATGAAACCTACACGA